GCAGGTGGGTGGGGAACTGGTCACATCTCAAGTGCTTAATCCGCCAACTGTTGCCAAACACTCCAGTGGCTGTGGGAGATTTCTGCAGGTCCTTGATGTGGTTTTGTTTGAACACAATTCCCCTGTGTTGGCTCTTTGTGCCCACTCTTTACAAGGAGATGGAGTTATAATAGCAGTAGAGAAATAAGTTTCTCCTGGCCTGTGACTTCCAGGCTGCAGACAAGTGTATTAATGAGAGAACTTCTCTGTCCCTGTCTGCTTGACTTTCTGAAAGGTGGGTTCTTATTCTTGTGTGTTTGTTTGAGAAAAAAAAAAAAAAGATTGGTGCAATGCTGATACAGATAATTTTTACCAATTTTAGTGATTTCAAAATGTTTTTGTTAAACAAGGTTATTGTACAACAAGTTGCATGATTTTGTGACCCCATTCTATAACTTGTATCATCTTGCATATGACGTTGGTATTGCCAGGCACTATAATGCTGGATACAACATATTGCCAGTAGATATGCACTGCAAAGGCCTTGATTACAGATTAAACTCTCTTGACTCATCATTGTTGTTCCACTTATTTGAATGATCTTTTTACAGAGTGTAAAGATTCCGATGCTTTTAATGGTTTACCTAAGCCCGGTCACAGACCACACCTAGACAACTGTTCTATTGCTAACAGAATCATACTAAGAAACACATAAAACAGGGAATTTGTAAAGCTTGTAAACCAGCCTCTTGGTTTCACTTATACTATTTATCTAGCAGACAGGCTGGTGTGCATTTTAATCATATTTTCACATACTCCCCAAAACACACAAAATCATGAAGTATTAGTTTGCTTTTTTCCCACGATATGCAAATATTTACATGACTTCTTGTGATTTGCACAATGAATAAAATGCATCTCCCAAAGACCATTAGATTTAGGGAGAGATTGGGAATGTAAATGAGATTGATTTACCCTATGAAATTGAGTGATTATACTCAGTGTAGTGAGCTTTTTTAAGTGAGTCCACATCAGTCCAAGTCTCAGTTTTAAACGCCTGGTAGCCTGCTGTATAGGCCCACTCCTGGTCTCCAGATAGGGATTTCCCAACATCCAGGGTTCTCACACACTCCGGAACACAGGACTACCTCCAGCCTCCTCTGTGGACTCGCTAGTCACCTCCACTTTCTCAGTCTCTCCGGACCCACGTAGCTGTCCCAGTCCTGTGGGCAAGAAGTCCCCCTAACATAGGGATTGTCTCCCAAAAAGGTCACCTCTCCTGGCTGATGCGCACCACTACGTACTACGGCTGTGTCTCCGAATGGCAACAACTGCAGTAGCTCTGATTAGGCGTATAATGATCCTGCACATCTGTGCACTCACACAGGCTGCATGTGTCTCAGCAAAGTATGGACACAGCATTGAAGGTTCCGTCCCATGCAAGACACTTTAGAACCTTCAAACTCCAGGCCCCGATTCGGGAAAACAAAACTTGGAGAAAGCTCAGAACACAGCTTTCTCTGCTCATAACAAACTCTGGAGCTTCACATTAAAGCCTTAATGCAAATCCTCTGTCATTTCTACTTTTTTTTTTTTTTTAGCTTAAGTTCACAGAGTGGCAGAACCTATAAGACAGCTGTTCCCCGATTATGGCAGATCCCCGTGTTTGTGGGCATGCTCAAACTACTACATTTCTCCTTGACCAGATGATCCATACACCAGTGGCAGGAACACTAGAGCAAATGATGAGTCCAAATTAATTTATTGGTTTGCCCCCACCCCCCCCAAAAACAAAAAAATCCCAGTGAGTTTATGGGAGCACTCCTCCATCATCATGGAATAATAGATATAGATGTTACTGATATAATAAATCTGTGTATTATGGTTTGGCCCTGATGGAGTGTTTTATGGTCCCCGAAATGCGTTGATTTTTTTTTTCTTACAGGCTATATGATTCGGCACTCCTTCCATTGGTGCGTTTTGTTTTTTTTTTGGCAACCAGCTAAGTACCCACTGGAGGGTAGCCCTGTCTATTGTGAGCAGCCTGACCTGAGCCAGCTAATGAGCTCCCAATTATTTTTTTTTGTTCTCACTCTTGTAATGAATTTACATTCAAGTTCCAGAACCTTTTTCCCGCTGCTTATTTGTTTGGCTGTCATGTTAGTTAAGTGACTTTTTTTTTTCCAGATCACTGATTCTGAAAATACTGATGCCAGTGGTTCAGCACTTTTTTTTTTTTTTTTTTTTTTTTAAATTATTAAGTTAAACATTTTGTAGTGACTACCTTCATCTTTCTTTTTCAATACAGGCACACATTTAACATGAACAAGATCAGGTCTTTAGAAAGGAGGCCTTTCAGAAATTGGATTGTGTGCTTAACATTCAACTGCCCTTTAATACCTGAAGTCAAGCATGAAATTTCCATATATATTGCATATCTTACTGTAATTTAGGCCAGCCTTTTTCAACGAGGGTGCCTTCAGGCTTTTTCAGGGGGGCCTTGGCAAAATACACAAAAATTGTATTCAAGCCAGCAGGTGGATCAATCTTGCCTTTTAGTACACAAAGCCACAGGTTTTCATTGTGCACTTTTAAACCTTCTAGCTGCCAGCATCCTAACAGCCAATGCTATCATCAGTTAATAAGGAGGACGTTGGGTGCATGCACATCATCCTTGTTTGCACCTCCTCTGCCCCTCTTTGTCAGCACTGGGGTCACATTAGCAGAGTGAGAGAGAGAAACTGAGAGATGCACTAGATTACTAGTCGGTACGAGTGTACAAAGGAGTATTTGCTTTGTAAGAATAAATCACCTCTAACGTTGGGTGTAATGGATGTGTGTAGAATAGTTTTTTACATTTTTATAATGGGTTGCCTTGAGATTGTGCAGGTTGAGAAACACTGATTTACGCCATAAAACAAATATGCAATCTCTTGACTTCTTTCTGTAATCTGCTTTAGAAAGGGAAAAGCACATCTATAATGTCCTCTGCTATAAAAAATAAATGCATTTTTGCAGGGCAATATTACCAAAGGAAAGCCTAATTTCTCCCCAAAATAAAAATGTATGCAGTGCCGTTTGGCATTGAAGTGTGAGTGGTTTATGTACTGTTAGGTCCAATTATATTTGGACACAGGCACAATTTTAGTTCTTTTCAGGTATTTACCAAAACATTTTCAAGCTATAGTTATATAATGGATATGGGCTGAAAGTGCACAAAATTTAATTTGGGGGTATGCACATCCAAATTGGAGGAAGGGTTTAGGAATTGCAGCTCTTAAGAATAGCCATGCTCCCTTTTTCAATGGACCAAAAGTAATTGGACAGTTCAATCAAAAGCTGTTTCATGGCTAGGTGTGGGCTACTCCTTCGTTATTTCTATATCAATTAAGCAGGTTAAAGGTCTGGAGTTGATTCTAAGTGTGGTATTTGCATTTGGAATCTCTTGCTGTAAACCTGCATCATGCGTTCAAAGAAGCTGTCCATGCAAGTGAAACCTGCCATTGTAAGGTTTCAAAAACAAAACAAATCCATCAGAGACATAGCAACAACATTAGGAGTGGCCAAATCAACAGTTTTTGGTACATTCTGAGGAAAGAAGAACACATTGGTGAGCTCAGCAACATAAAAAGGCATGGATGTCCACGGAAGACAACAGTGGTAGATGATCGCAGAATCCTCTCTATGGTAAAGAAAAACCCATTCACAACATCCAGACAAGTGAAGGACACTCTCCAGGAGGTGGGCGTATCATTGTCAAAGTCTACAATCAAGAGAAGACTTCAAAAGAGCAAATACAGAGCGTTCACCACAAGGTGCAAACCATTCATAAGCCTGAAGAATAAAAAAAGCCAGATTAGACTTTGCCAAAAAACATCTAAATAAAGAAAAAAAAAGCCAGACCAGTTATGGAAAAGCATTCTTTGGACAGATGAAACTAAGATTAATCTGTACCAGAATGACGGGAAGATAAAAAGTGTGGAGAAGGCTTGGAACAGCTCATGATCCAAAGCACACCACATCATCTGTAAAACATGGAGGCAGTGTGATGGCATGGGCATGCATGGCTTCCAGTGGCTCCGGGTCATTGGTGTTTATCGATGATGTGACAGAAGACAGAAGCAGCCGGAAGAATTCTGCAGTGTTTAGAGAGATACTGTCAGCCCAGATTCAGCCAAATGCCGCAAAGTTGATTGGACGGCGTCTCACAGTACAGATGGACAATGATCCAAACACACTGCAGTAGCAACCCAGGAGTTTTTGAAGGAAAATAAGTGCAATATTCTGCAATGGCCGAGTCACTCACCTGATCTCAACCCAATTGAGCATGCATTTCACTTGCTGAAGGCAAAACTAAAGGTAGAAACACCCACAAACAAAGAACAACTGAAGACAGCTGTTGTGAGAGCCTGGCAAAGCATCAGAAAGGAGGAAACTCAGTCTTTGGTAATGTCCATGGGTTTCAGACTTCAGGCAGTCATTGCCAGTAAAGGATTCTCAAAAAATGTTAAAAATTAACATTTTATTTATGATTATATTCATTTGTCCAATTGCATTTTGAGCCCCTGAAAATGGAGGGACTGTGTTTAAAAATGGTTGCAGTTCCTAAAATTTGTCCTTAATATTCATGTTCAACCCCTTGAATTAAAGCTGAAAGTCTGCACTTCATACTCATTTGGATTGATTTGTTTGTTTATTCTGGTGGCATACAAAGCCAAAAGTATTAAAATTGTGCCTGTGTCCAAATATATATGGACCTTAACTGTATGTCTGTATTCATTAGTCAACAGTAATGTTTAAATGTGACATTGCAAGGGGTACATTGAATTGAGTTTTGACAACGGTTGTATTAGAATCATGCAATGCTGTGAAATTCAATCTGGCTTTTAGTGAATTTTACTTCTCAAAATTCAAAGAGGTTCAGAAACGTTCAGGTACAATAGGACTGAAAATTGTTTATGGCATAAATATTAAGCCGCGTAATATATGTACTAAGATTTTATTATGACATTATCTTGCAGGATTTGTACAGTGTCAACCGTTCAAGCAAACAGTCCAGATCCCAACGGCTACTAGTTTAACGCCATCACCAGTGATAGGACATATACCACCTTCGATTCCTATGAATGTATCAGGTGTTCCTGCTCCTTCTGGAACCAATTTCTTCCCTCCAGCTTCCCACCATTCCGCACGTGGATCTACCATTCATTCAGCTTCAGGATCATCTATGTTAATGGGTCAGCCTCCAACACCCCCCAACATGACTGCATCCCATACTCCATTCAACTACCCCGTGGGCTTGGGATTTCACCATGGTGGACCAGGAGCTCCTGCTAATCTACCACCACCTCCAACAGGTATTTTTTTTTTTAATTGAAAGCAAGAACATAAAACCAGTCTTTTATCACTTAATAATCAAAGGTAAGTTATTAAAAGGAAAAGGACACCCTTCCTTTCTCTATTGTGCGTTACAGGTTTCAGACCACTTTTATGTCCATTGCGATAAGGTTATGCTGTTATCTTAAGGTGATTGGACACTGCCAAAAAAAAAATAGGAAGATCCCTCCATGGCATAACCCCTCCCCATTAGGCAGGGGTTGACCATAGTGGTTCTGTGATATTGAGGACCAGCGACTGTGGCGCCTGGGGCAGGTGCAAGGCTTTGTCTGATTGTTCACCAGACCATGATTTGAGAACACCAGCTGTTTGAATCGGAGCATTATCTTCTTGGTAAATGGCCCTGTGTTTGGGAAACAACGTCTGCATGTGTGATTAGTAACATGGGTTGCTCAGCTGTGATAGGGAGAAAATGCTCAGAATAGAAACTCACTGAAAACTGAGCATGTGCGGAGTTGCCAGCACTGCTCTGCAAAATCCCCAGCTGCACTGGGGACAAGGACCGAAGTGGGAGATAGAGAAAAGCAGGATCAGCCAGGATTTTTGCAGAATACAGAAAACAAATCTTCTAGTGACTGAGTATGAACAGCATGTAAAACAACATTTGATTGATTGTTTTTTATGATGTGGGTTTAGTGACACAATAAAGTTACAGTATAGGTACAAAGTTTTGTCTTTTTAAAAATAACAAACATGTGATACTTGCCTGTTCTGTGCAATAGTTTTGCACAGAACAGCCACAATCCTCCTTTCGAGGCCCCTGCTAGCACTCCTGGCTCCTCCCCCTGCCAAATACCCCCAAAGCAAGCCACTTGCTCTGGATGCATTTATACATGCTCACTCCATAAGACACACAGAGCACAGCTTGGTCCCTCCCCCTTGCGCCCTCTTCAAAAGGTGGCTTCAAGGAAGATTTATTTGGCCAGGGGATTTCATCCTTTTCATGCATGTTCACAACCTGGCTTTTCTCCAGTCTGGAGTTGATCTTGGACTGGCTTTGGGTACTTGTCTTTTTCTTTTCTTTTTTTTCCAGAGACTGACTGACTTCACGTTCCTTGATGTGTTCCTGCGTACAAGGCATCATTTGCATTGTTCTACCAGTCAGTACTTAGTTGACTCCATGGGATTTCAACTGGTTGTTTTCTGTATTGCAGAAATTTCCATTTGACCACTTCATGGATATTCCTTTAGTCCTTCTGAGATGGAAGGTTGTTTTTGGTATTTTCAGAAATGGCTGCCCTTTCCTGTAAGGAACCTTTTCTGGTTATCCACTGTGGCAAGGTGGTTCCATGGCCTCAGCCAGTTTCTTTGTTACATCTCACCGGGAAATTTTGTTACCATCTTTCTGTCCTAACTCACAGATGCAGAGGGACAAGGCTCTTTCGCTTTTGATGGGGTTTGTGATATCACGTGTTACTTTAAATCGACTGCTGCTATTCATCAGTTGGATTCCTCTTGAAGGTCCAAAGAGGGTTCACTCCTCTTCCACATCTGCCATTTCTAGATGGATCCATCACCTTATTTCTCAGACTTAGGTGTCCGTTTATGACACAGAGAATAGCTGCGATTCCAAGGATCGCAGCTACTCTCTCGTCATTCACAGTTTATGACACTCAGGAGATCAGCGGAGAACATGTTCAGCCCTTCACTGGAGATCTGTGTTCTCCGTCCAGATTCTTCCAGCCCAGAGCTGGAGAATCGGAGGGACCGCAAACTAAGCAGCAATAATTTACCTCTGTTTAGTAAACTGATCTTTTACTGTAATCTCGTGAGATTATAGTAAAATCAGCTGTTTTCCAGCGTTTGTAGACCGTTCTCCAGCGTTTGTAGACCGTTTTCCCTTTGTTCGGAGAACTGCTTCATAAAAGGCATTCACAGGAGAACTGTGTTCTCCGAGAATGCCGGAGAACTGAGCAGCGATCTTTACCGCTGGTTCATAAACGGACACCATAGTCTAAAAAGAGTAGTTTCACAGTTTCCATTGACACCTCATTCTACCAGGAATGTGTGTTGGCTTCCTAGACTTATTTGATATCGGGTTTTGGTAGCTCAAGTTTGGAAAGTTGCTACCTTCATACTTTTACAAAGTTTTCAATGTGATGGTTGAGCCACCGAAGGCGATATCTTTGGCTGCTATGGCGAACTCACCTTATATTCAGTGCTTTGGGACATCACTATCCTAATGAATGTGAAGATGCTCCATCCCATGTAATATCAATAAAAGTGATTTAAAAAAATGTAAATGGACAGCGTGAAAACCAAAAAGTGTAGTAAAGTAATTAAAAAAAAAAAATGGAAACTTCCCCTCTCCCCCGTGTTTGCATGCGAACATAGGTCTCTCACACCTACGTAAACGGTGTTCACACCACACATGTGAGTTATCACCGCAAATGTTATAGCAAGAGCAATCATTCTAATACCAGACCTCCTATGTAACTCTAAACTGGTAACCTGTAGTGGCTTTTAAACATTGCCAATGGAGATTTAAGTACCATAGTTTGTTGCCATTCCACAAGCATGGCAATTTTTAAGCTTGACATGTTGAGTATCTATGTACTCAGCATAACATCGACCTTTTATATTTTACCAAACAGTTGGGTATCATATTGTGTTTATTTTGCAATAAAATTCATTAAAGGGCATTTGTTCTAAAAAATAAAAAATTGCATTTGAAAAATTGCTGTGCAAATACCATGTAACATAACAAATTGCAACACCCACCATTTTATTCTCTAGGGCCTCTGCTAACAAAAAATGTTTGGGGGTTCTAAATTTTCTAGCAAAAAAAAAAGTACTGAATTTTACATGTACGAGAGAAGTGTCGGAATTAGACTGGTGTTAAAGTGATAGTAAACTCTCTTGGACAGGTCAGTGGCATTTAAACCAGAATAGCATGACATACTATTAACTAGTTGCCGACCGCAGATAGCCGAATGACGGCTTCACTGCGGCCGGCCAGTTCTGGGTGGACGTCATATGACGTCCCCCCAGAACGCGGGCGCGCACCCAGCGATCTCCGTGAACGCTGTGTCCTACGGACACAGCTGATCACGTAATGTGGTAAAAGGCCGATCCCAGCGGCCTTTTACCACGTGATCAGCGGTGTCCAATGACACGCTGATCACAGGGAAATGCAAGTGCCGGTTCTCGGCTGCACTTTCCTCACACTGTCAGATCGTGAGGAAAGTACTGCCGAGAACCGGCAGTTGTCACAGCGGGGATCGGCACCGATCATCAGGACACTGATGATCAGTGCCCTGATGATCGGTGCCCAGCAGTGCCACCCGCAAGTTCCGCCCACCTGTGCCCAGCAGTGCGCCCACTAGCTCCGCCCACCTGTGCCCAGCAGATCACCCACCTGTGCCCAGCAGTCACCCACCTGTGCCCAGCAGTGTCACACACCTGTGCCCAGCAGTGCACCTACCTGTGCCAGACTGCCACCCACCTGTGCCCACCCACCTGTGTTGCCCAGAAGTGCCACCCACCAGTGCCCACCCACCAGTGTTGCCCACCAGTGCCACCCACCAGTCATGCCGCCCAGCAGTGTGCCAGTCAGTGCCACCAGTCAGTGCCCAGCAGTGATGCCAGTCAGTGCCGTCTATCAGTACCCATCATCAGTGTCACCTATCAGTGCCGCCTATCAGTGCTGCATATTAGTGCCGCCTATCCGTGCCACCTCATTAGTACTGCCTATCAGTGCCCTTTAGTGCTGCCTATCAGTGCCGCCTATCAGTGCTGCCTCATCAACGCACATCAGTGAAGGAGAAAAAATACCTGTTTGAAAAATTTTATAATAGAAACAAAGAAAAATTAATTTTTTTTTCAAATTTTTTGCAACTTTTTTTTATTTATAGCGCAAAAAGTAAAGCGCCCAGTGGCCAATTAAATACCACCAAAAGAAAGCTCTATTTGTGAGAAAAAAATGATCAAAATTTCATATGGGTACAATGTTGCATGACCGCGCAATTGTCAATCAAAGTGCAGCAGCGCTGAAAGCTGAAAATTGGCCTGGTAAGAAAGGGGGTATAAGTGCCTGGTAGGCAAGTGGTTAAGTACCTTTTAGCGTCTTTCAAGGTGCATAGTTTAGTAGATAACGCCCTCCTCTTTTTTTTTTTGCTGACATCACTCCGCATGCGCATTGGAATCCCGATTGACTGCATACTGAGCGTGTCATCAATCTGTAGAGATACATGCCATGTTTATTAGCTTTACTCTCCAGCATTACATTTTAATGCTGCAAGAGTGCTGACCATCAGTTCATGCTTGACTTTATCTTATTGCACATGCGCAAGATTGATGCAGTGACGTGCAAAAAGGACAGCAGTATGGGTTGGAGAGTGCAGTAGAGTTTTCTGTAAATATAGTGCTGGCTTAAAATGAAACGGACTACAGAAAAAGCAAACTGCAGAAATTGTAAGAATTCTGACACTTTAATTTATCCCTATCTGTTTAAAAGTGCATTGATTTCTGGTATTATGCTTTTACTGGTGTAGTTGCAATTAGTTTATTACTACTTTTAAAGTGGTTAAACTTTACTTTGGCTAGATGTTTTGTATCCCATTATTTCACACATAGACATTGAGAATTGTTTAAAACAACCACATACACACGCACATATATAAAAATAAAATACACACACACAAACATAAAAATAAAATATACACACGTTATTTATGGCCTACCTACCCTTATTAACTTGAAACTGAATCTTGAAATTTGAGAACTTTTTGAAGAATCCCACACCTTACACCCTTGAATTCTGAGACACATTCACTATTGCCTTGTGTTCCTTGTGAAAATGCACTGCTTGTGTCACACCTTTCAAAAAGCCTGCCTTCTAAACTATAGGGGGTACAGTCATTACAGAAAAGACACCATAGCATCACTGAAAGGTGTACTGTTAGATAAGTAGCCAGTAGAAATCAAAAGTAAGCCAAATGAATGAGCTGGGAAGAAGCTGTAAGGCATGCAGGGAATCCAGGAAGTGGTGGAAAGAAATTGTGAGTAGACAAGCAGCATTTACAACATAAAAGGAGATTTATTGAGTACACTTTTGCTTTGTATTTGGGTTGACAGAAATACCATTCAGTCAATTGTATTACTATTCAATGCTGATGTTAAAAAAAGAAAATTGAAATGTATGTTGTGATTATAGAACTCAATTCAGTATGCACCCATAATACTGGTATCGTAGAGCAGAAGCTGTTCTGTCTTCAGGCTGCCTAACAAACTCCAGACTGAACATAGCAGGCAGGAAGGGGGATGGAGAAAGCATAAAGCTGGCTATAAAGAGATACATGTTAAATGGTCATATGTAATATTTCATATTTACCTGACAAAAAGAAAACATTTGTAGAAATTGTGCAGTTTATTCTGGAAAGTTATAAATGAGGAACATTTACAAAACCATATAAAATTCCCTTTCACTTCAAAATTGGGCATATCTGGTGTTCTATGTCTTGAATGATCTTTTAATTTCTAGGTTCATGTTCCTGGCTGCAGACTAGGAACGATGCAACAGGTAAAGCTTTGCTGCATGGATGTACTCCCCTTGTGCTGCTTGCATTGAGTGATTGGCTTTGTGAAAAAGCTTATGGTCATTTATTCATAATCATACTGTATTATGTAATTTTACTGTATAGCATCATTAGGTGTTATTGATGTAGACTTACCTTAAAACAAAGCCTTCCAGCAATCACTGCTTCCAGGGCTTCCATCTTCACCCAGTCTTCCTTCCGGCTCTGGCCGTTTGAATTATCGGACCGCAATGACGTCACTTCCGTGCATGTGCACAGGAGTCAGTCGCGGCACAGTGCTGTGGATTACAGCATGCTCATTATGTCTTCAATTCAGAGCTCTGTGTGCATGCGCTGCTGATGCAACCGGCTGAAGAAATAGAGAATATCCGTGCACAGTTAGGAGATATTCATTGTACAGCTGTGTTCAAAATAACAGCAGTTCAAAATCGCTAACTAGATAAATCACTGTTTTGGTATAGATTATATTCTACATGACAAATAATTTACTAGTAGGCATAGTATAGTAATAGAAAACCAACAGTCCTAACAGTCATGACATGCATGCTGTTGATTCTGTGTAATTGAATCATGAATTGAAAGGGTCGTGTTAAAAATAATAACAGTGTGGAGTTCTATTAGTGGGGACATTCAGTCTGTGAAAAAACAGGTGTCAAATAGGTGTCCCATATTTAAGGACAAAAGCAGCAAATGTACATTCTTCTCTCTGAAAATCTGAATAAAATGGGTTGTTCCAGACATTGTTCAGAAGAACAGCGTACCTTGATTAAAAGTTGATTGGAGAGGAGAAAACATATAAAGAAGTGCAGAAACTGATAGGCTGCTAAGGTAAAATGATTTCAAACGCTTTAAAATGGCAACCAAAACAAGAAAGACGTGGAAGAAAGCGGAAAACTACCATTCAAATGGATTGAATAGCCAAAATGGCAAAGACTCAGCCAATGATCAGAGAAGGTCTTAAGTTACCTGTGTATACTGTAACAACTAGAAGACGTCTATGTGAAGCCAAGCTATCAGAAAGAAGCCCCTACAAAGTCCCATTGTTGAAAAAATATGTACTGAAGAGGTTACAATTTGCCGAAGAACACATTGACTGGCCTAAAGAGAAATGGCACAACGTTTTGTGGACTGATGAATGCAAGATTGTTCTTTTTGAGTCTAGGGCCACAGACAGTTTTGTCAGATGACCCAAACAATTGAGTACTGTCCGTGATACTTTTTTTATTTGCACTAACATATAATTTTGAGGACAAGCTTTCGGGGTATGTCCCCTTCTTCAAAGTCCAAGCAGTACTATACAAATCACAAAGTTTAAGCAGAATGTTAGAAGGGATTGAGAAAAAAAAAAAAAAAAAAAAAAGGGCTACAGATAAGATACATCAAAAGCAAGGGGGGGAGGGGGGGATACAACACTCACACAGAGGGGGTCAAGTTTTAGCTAATAGTCATAAAACTGTCGGATAATGGTTGAGGAATCCCATGTCCAAATTAAGACCGTTATTTTTTGTGTCAAATAGAATTATCATTCTTAGTTCAAATGTTTTTCTTTCCTGGATGGATTTAAATTTTCCTTTCAGAACTAAAATATTGAGGTCTTCCATATTGTGGCCTGGTTGTGAGAAATGGTGTCCTACAGGTGTGCAGAGGTCATCTTCTTTATGTTCCTTGATGGTATGTCTGTGCAAATTCATCCGTGTTTGCAACCTCTGTCCCCCAAACACTGAATTCAAGCCACAGTACACTGTGAGGTCAGTGAAGCATGCTGACACAAGCATCATGATATGGGTATGTTTCTCATACTACGGTGTTGGGCCTATTTATCGCATACTAGGGGTCATGGATCAGTTTGAATACATCAAAATACTTAAGGAGGTCATGTTGCCTTATGCTGAAGAGGAAATGCCCTTGAAATGAGAGTTTCAACAAGAGAACAACCTCAAACAAAGTAAGCGAGCAGCATCATGTTATAGACCAAGAAGGTTAACTTTATGGAGTGACCAGCCCAATCCCCAGACCTTAATCCAATAGAAAACTTGTGGGGTGATATCAAAAATGCTGTTTCTGAGGTAAAACCAAGAAATGCAGAGCAATTGTGGAATGTAGTGGAAATGTCCTGGGCTGGAATACCTGTTCACAGGTGCCAGAAGTTTGTTGACTCCATGCAACACAGATGTGAAGCAGTTTTAAGAAACAGTGGTTATACAACTAAATATTCAGCGATTCACTAGAAAGTGGAGTTTGTAAAGAAAAATGCAGACACTGCTCTTTTCTCTTTCATTCATTGACGGACGTAACCTCTTCCATTCTCGACCATAGGGTTATATCGCCATCTACAGGTACCGCCTATGGGCAGTCCTGGCTGATATAAACCCCCTCTCTGCATAGGCAGTCCAGTTTTTCCTGCCTAGTGTTCAAGAGTAGTGACCTTACTCCCTGCTGGGACCTGTGGTTTTGTAAGATTTTGTCCTTTTTTTTTTTCTTTTTCTTTTTCTATGTGTTTCCTGGGTTTTTTCCTGCGGAGATCTTCAATCAATAACTAGGCTGGGTGACTGGCTAAATAATATAGATCCAGTGGTCACCCCAGTCTGGCCAGCAAACATGTGCAGACCCTAGTGAAGCGCAGGGTGGGCCGTGACGTTCCCCACCCTGGATTGGGCCGGCAAGTTTAACGTCTCATAGGGTTGCATATGACAGGGCTCTGGATGTCCGCTTCACAACGCTGCCTTTGCCAACAGCCCCCCCACACTTCGATGGAGAGGTGGTTCAGTCTCTGGAGCATACCTGCAGCCTCCCTGGATTAAGTAACATTTGCCTCCCCCCCCCCTCTCTTCTGGGTGCTGGGCGCAGGTGCTCCCTGGGATGGTCAGCCCTGCGGGGTCCCCTCCTCCCTGCCAGACCCCTTGTATTTCCAGATTTGCTCCTGGGTCCCCCTTCACCACCCTATCTTGGTCTGGGCCACCTTCTGGGTGATAGCAGTTACCTTGGGGTTGCATACCAGGCTGTCCTCCAGCTCTGACAAGTTGTGTTGCTTTCCTGGCTTGCTGTGGGGTGAAGTGAAGGGTGCCATGTGATGCTTCAGCCTGGTCCTGTGGCTGGTTCGGCGCGCTTATTGGGGTTTTTTTTCCCGGCAGCCATCTTCCCAAAGAGCACCAGCCATTTTCTTGTAGCCCTGCAGCAGCCTGTTCAGTCACGGAGGTATCTGTCCCCTTTGGCACGCACAAGCCACAGCATAAACCATTTGCCGTGCATTATCCCTTTCGATGAATCTCTTCTGAAGAAGTGGAATGAACCACCTATCGTGGACCCTCTGATTTCCAGGTTGAATAAAGCAACCATGATACCGGTGAAGGAGTCTCCATCCTTTAAGGATCTGGCAGACATGAAGGTGGAGGCGATTACACCCCTGCTGTTCACTATTGCTGGCTCGGCTGTTTGACTGGTTTTGGCCACTGCCCTGGTGTCCCAGACCCTCACTGAATAGTGACAAACACCTTCACCACGGCCTGGGGGGGGTGCAAGTTCCCCCCGCTTATGTGGAATTGGTGAACCAGCTGGGCAAGGGCCTTACGGTTGTGTGTGACACATCCCTGGATGGGGCCCCCTTGCTTTCCAGGCTTTCCATTACAGCTGTGGTGCTCGAATGTTGTTCTGCAGATCAGACATCAAAGAAGGCTCTCACAGATTTGCACTTCCAGAGTGAGCGCCTCTTCGGGGCCACCCTGGATGACATCTTAAAAAAATCTTACTGGGGGGAGAGTACTTTTCTTCCGCAGACTCCAGTTGCCGCGTCCTGCACTGCACGGGGGAAAGAACCATGTCACAAGCACGGTCCTTCTTTTTCTGTTCACAAGAAATTTTTTTCACCCCCCCCCAGATCTGCTGATAAGGGTTCCAAGCTGTTCAAGGCCCCCTACAGGGGTACCAAGTGCCCTTGGACTGTCAAGCCGGCGGACAAGTTCTCCCCAGCGTAAAGGTCTGTCCCCACCATTTTCCAGGGTGGGGGGTCGTCTTCACTGCTTTGCCACTCTGTGGACCTCCCTGATTTCTGACAAGTGGGTCCACGAGCTGATTCTGTCTGGGTATAAAATAGAATTCCAGTCTTGTTCTTCCAACCTGTAGCAACGAATCGATATCCAGGATGCCTACATACACATCCCCATCTCTACCAGACACCAGCATTTGCTTCGCTTTGCGATGGGAGACCTGCATTATCACTGGTGCTGGCTCTGGTTCTGACCTTACTCTGACAATGGGGGATTTCCGTGATTGGTTATCTGGACGACCTTCTACTGAGGGCGAAGTCTCACTCAGCCTTGAGGGACGACGTGGCGATCACGATAAGCACCTTGCTGGAGTTTGGGTGGGTCCTGAACATCCAGAAATCCACTCTGACCCCAACCAGGAAGCTGGAGTATCTGGCTCGCAACACGGCGTTGGCCAAGGTGTTCCTTCCGCTGTATGAGCTACAGAAGCTTTAATCGGTGGTTCGCTTGTTGCTGTCCTGCGGGTGGCCCTCCTTCGCTGTTGCATGCAAGTCCTGGAACTGATGGTCTCTGCCTTTGAGGCGGTTTCATACAAGGTCACTTCAGAGGGAAGTCCTGTCCAAGTTTGGCCAAGTCCTCCAACTCCTTGGACACCCAGGTTTGTCTGGGTCAAAAGACCAGGATGTCTCTGCTTTGGTGGCTTCGGCCTCCTGTCCTTCAGGAGGGGAAATAATGTCTTCCCTTGCATTGCACAGTGGTCACAACAAACGCCAGGCTGTTTGGCTGGGGAGGAGTACTGGGGGCAAGCTTGGCCCAGGGTTGATGGGTGCCAGAGGAGTCCTGACTACCAATCAGTGTCTTGGAGCTCCGGGCAATCGGACTCCGCCTGCAACAGTGGACGGAGCATCTTCGAAGGCACCCGGTCCGAATCCAGGCAGACAATACTACGGCAGTAGCCTATGTCAACCACCAGGGAGGGACACTGAGTGTGGCGGTGTTGC